TACTGAAGATATAATTTAAAAACCTACCAACAAAGAAATGCCCAGGCCCTAACGAATTCAATGCTGAATTCTACAAGAAATTTAGAGAAGACCTAATGCTGCTGCTTCTCAAACTCTTTAATGAAACTGAAAGGGAAACAATACTCTCAAATTCCTGGATGCAAGCATTACCCTGATACCAAAATCCAACGAGAAAGGATCCACAGAAGCATCCAACCAAGAAAAAGAACTATAGGCCAATCTCACTAATAAACATAGACAGATGCAAAAATCCTCAATAAGATACTGGCAAACAAAATGCAGCAAATCATCAAGAAGATTATACACAATGACCAAGTAGGATTCATCCCAGGGATGCAGGGATGGTTCAACATATGCAAACCAATAAATGTAATACACCATACCATATTAACAGAGCCAAGAACAAAAACTGTATGATCATCTCAATAGATGCAGAAAAAGTGACGAAGTCTAACACACATAAAAACCCTACACAAAATCAGAAAAGATGATCTTTTCCTCAATCTGATAAGAGCCATCTGTGACAAACCAACAGCCAACATCACACTAAATGGACAAAAACTGAAAGGTTTCACTCTAAAATTAGGAACAAGACAAGGATGCCCACTGTTACCACTCTTACTCAACACAGTTCTGGAAACATTGGCCAGAGCTATTAGACAAGAGAAAAAAATAAAAGGAATAAGAATAGGAAAGGAAGAAGTTAAATCATCATTATTTGCAGATGACATGACACTCTACCTGGAAGAACCCAAAAACTTCACCAAAAGAATTCCAGAGTTATTAACAAAATTCAGTAGCATAACTAGATACAAAATCAAAAATCGACAGCCTTCCTGTACACAAATAAAAAACTCACTGAGAGAGAAATTAGGGTAACAATATCTTTCACAAAAACATCCAAAAAAAAATCAAATACCTAGGAATCGATCTAATGAAGGATGTAAAAGACCTCTACATTGAAAACTACAGTACTCTGTAAAAAGAGATTGAAAAGAATATCAGAAAATGGAACAATATCCCTTGCTCTTGGGTAAGAAGAACCAATACAGTGAAAATGGCCATACTTCTAAAATTGTTATACAGATTTAATGCAATCCCAATCAAAATTCCAACAGCATATCTCACAGAATTAGAGAGAACAACCCTAAAATTCATTTGGAACCAGAAGAGATAGAATAGCAAAGGCAATTCTGGGCAACAAAGAGAAGCAGGGTGCATCACAATGCCTGACTTGAAATTATACTACAAAGCTACTGTGATAAAAACAGCTGGTACTGGCAAAAAAAAAAAAAAAAAAAAAAAACACCCAAACAATAGACCTGAGGATCAATGGAACAGATTGGAAGATTCAGGAAGATGCAGAAAAAACTCCAGACATACTTAGCCACCTTATCTCTGACAAAGGTGCCAAACACCTTCACTGGAAGAAACATAGCCTCTTTAATAAATGTGCTGGGAAAACTGGTTTTCCACATACCTAAGACTAAAAGTAGACCCATACCTGTCACCACGCAGTAAACTAAATTCAAAATGGATCGAAGATCTAAATGTTAAAACAGAAACATTAAATCTGTTGGAAGACAGAATAAGTAGAAGTCTTGAAGACATCATTGTGGGTAAAGACTTTATAAACAAAACCCTAATCACACAGGAACTATCACAAAGAATCAACAACTGGGATCTTATCTTATTAAAAAGCTTTTGCAGAGCAAGAGAAACCGCCCAACAGAGTGAAGAGACAACCCTTAGTGTGGGGAAAAAAGAATTCTAAAATATATAAAGAACTCAAAAAAAAAAAAAAAAAAAATCAGACCTCCCAAATTTAAAAACACAGTTCCAAAACAGGCATCAGAAACAGATACTTCTCAGATGAAAAAGAAGAAACAGTAAATAAATGAAATACATGAAAATAAATACATGAAAAACTGTTCAGCATCACTGGTCATTCAAGAAATGCAAATTAAAACAACACTGAGATTCCATCTCACCCCAGAAGGATTAGCTATTATTAACAAATCAATGAATAACAAATGCTGGCAGGGCTGTGTGGGAAAAGGAACCCTTCTCCACTGTTGTGGGGAGTGCAGACTGGCACAACCACTGTAGAAATCAGTGTTAAGATTCATCAAAAAACAAGGACTAGAGGTTCCATTTGACCCAGTTATTCCCCTTCTTGGTATCCTCCCTAAAGAACTAAGAGCATTCTACCACAGTAATATATGCACACCCTTGTTTTTATCGGCACAGCTTGTAATAACTAAATCTTGGAAACAACCCCTAATGCCTATCAACTGATGAATGCATAAAAATGTGTGGGTTTTTTTTACAATGGAGTATGCCTCTGCCATAAAGAAGAATAAGCTTGAGACATTTCTAGCTAAATGGATGCACCTTGAGATCATTTTCTTCACGTAAAATAAATCAGACACACATGTATAAATACTGCCATTGTTTCTCTGGTGTGAGAAACTGAAAGTGTAAATAAGGACCAAACTATGTAGTAGATATTGTGAAACAGGAAGAAAATGTTCAAATGGGAAGCAGAACTAGGGAGAGGGAAGAAGGACGGGAAGGGGGAAAGGAAAGAAGGGAAAAGAAAAAAAAAATGAGAAACAAAGCTGTTATAAATAAGGAGGGGAAGGGAGGCTGCAGGGACGGTAGAGGAATAGGGCAAAAAAGAATCAAGTTATATTATGTATAGGTACAAAATCCTTATGATGAATGTAATCATTATATGTACTTAAAATGTTAAGAAACTTCATTAATAAAAAATTGAAATAGCTCAATCAGTAAATGGGCAAAAGAACTGACATCTCTCAAAATAAGTATAAATGGTCGGGGCTGGGGATTTAGCTCAGAGGCACAGCACCTGCCTGGCAAGCGCAAGGTCGTGAGTTCAATTCCCGGTACCAGAAAAAAATCAAATAAAAAAAGAACCAACAAGTACAAATGGTCAATAAGTACACAAAAAAATGTCCAACATTAGTCTCAGGGAAATACAAATTAGCCATGAGGGAAATACAAATCTTAATTTTAAAACTACACTGAGATTCTATTTCACCCCAATCAGAAAGGCTATCACAACAGTACAAAAATCCAATAAATTGTGATGAGGATACAAGGAAAAAGAACTCCTCTAAAACACTAGTGTGAATGTAACTTAGTACAACAACTTGAAAATCAAGTTTCTCAACAACTTGAAAATCAAGTTTCTCAAAAAACTAAAATAAAGCTAACATTTGATTCAAGAATACTACTACTCCTTGGTAGATATGTACCCAATTACACCTCTCCTGAGTAAAATATTCCTGAAAGAATTAGTGATATCATACTATAGTGATACATGCATACCCACAGTTTCTAGCCATGCAATTCACAACAGCTAAGCTGCAGAAACAGCCTACATCCCCATCAACAAACAGATAAAGAAAATGCAAGGTATCTATACACAATGGAATATTATTTAGCCATATAGAAGAATGACGTCATGGCATTTTCAGGATGGATTTTGAGAGTATATTAAATGAAATAAGTCAGACACAGAAAATTAAGCATCTTTTTCAAAATGGAAGAGGATCAAGAGATAGAGGAAGGAGTGAAAAAAGAATTAGTATGTGTTATGTACATGTATCAACCCCCCATGAGGAACATAATCCTTATATACAGCAAATATGTACTAATAAAAATTAAAATTTTTAAAAAAGAAAACTTTACCTTTCCAACACATAGCTTCTCTTATATGAAAAATGCAAAATATACATGAAAGTATAAAATAGAGGATAGCTGATAGAAAAATGAGGAAGCAGACTTCTAGAGATGGGAAAGAGATTAGGGAAAGGGGGGGTAGAAAATGGGACTCAAAGGACCTAAAGTGATCAAGAAATTATATACAGGAAAGTATATATGTATCAATTCCCCAAAAAGAATATAAATATTCAGTAATTTAAAAGCAGGGGTATTAGAGATATAGCTCAGTGGTAGGCTGCCCCCAGCTACGGACTCCCTAGAAAACAAAACAAAAAAAACCTACCAACTAAGTAATACTATTTTTTCCTTTCAGGTCTGAAACAAAAATTATATTCTCTTTCCTCTTGCTCTTTTAATTGGTAAATAAAAATTGTAAATATTTATGGCATTGTCTTGGTTACTTTTCTCTGGTTGCTGACACAAAATACCCAATGCCCAAAATTAAGGAAGGAAAGGTTTATTTAGCTTAGTTTGTGGAGGTTTCAGTCTATAATCAGCTCGCTCCAAGGCACAGTGGCAGGGCACAGGGGCAACACTTCAAGGCAGCACACAAAAGCAAAAGCAACAAGAGCAAAAGGAGTTGGGGGAACAAGCTTCTTTCCCTCCTTATATTGTAAGCAGGCTACGCCCACCCGGGGAGCATGTAGCACTCACATGAACTCCTGCCCTCCTCCTGCACAGGCTCAGGATGAATACAAAGAAAGCACCCTGACCCTCTGCTCAGTCACTTAGTTAACCTTCTAAACTTCTCAAATCGACACTATGCACAACATCCCAGGTAAGGGCATGTCCTTTTCAGGACAGGATGTAGAACTGCTGAGTCACTTAGCTAAGCCTCTAGACTATCACGCTGACACAATGTATCAACCATAACAGGCATACAACTTGATGTTTCCTATCTGTACATCCTGGAATGGCTAAATCAAGCTATTTGTGTATGCCCTGTCTCACATTCTTATCATTTATTTACAGTAAGAACAAAAACTTACTGTTAAGACATTTTCAAGTACACAATACACTGATGAACTTATTCATCTTGTCTAACTGAAATTTTGTGCTCTTTGACCAACATATCTCCAATCCCCATAATTCCTAGTCTTTCGCAACTACTACAGTGATACCTCAGTTTATGAATGCTTTCATTTGTGAAGAAGACTTATTGACAAAATTTTGCTTTTATTTGTAAACTCTACATCAGGTAACAAACATGACATTGTCTATGCACTTACCTCAAGTACTGGTCCAGCTCCAAGAATAATTTGTTCAACTCCACTGGCAAATCCTTTCTGACTGAGGGCAGTAAGGTGGTGAATAAGAAAGTTTGTGCTCTGAGTCTTCCCAGAACCACTCTCTCCTGAAATCACAATGCACTGATTCTTTTTGCGCTGAAGCATTGCATGGTAAGCTACATCAGCCACAGCATATATATGGGGCTCAAGTTTTCCCAACTGATGGTTATCATACATTTTGACATATTTGGGGTTATAAATAGGAAGAAATTTGAATGGGTTAATAACTATTAGAATACTGCCAACGTAAGTATAAATTTTCTCATGCTTAAAGCGATTTCGTAGGTTTTCTAAGAGTGTTTTCTCATTCAAATCCGGTAAGCTACATAAATCATCGAAGTCTTTCTGCTGAGGCTGTGGAAGAAAACCCCGTTCCATCATCCTGCGACGTTCTTCCGTTACCCGTAGCCATGACTGAAGGCTGCCATAATGAATAGATCCATCAAGGTTTTTTTCTCTCAGAAGGAAGCGGTAGTCCTCTCCACTTGAACGATTTTCCAGAGCCATCCGGGGCCACAACATCATCCGCTGAACGGGACAGTCCGTTGGATTGAGTATCCATTCTTCTCCACCAAATTCCTTCACCTCTGCTAAGACATAACATTTTGTTTTCTCTAGATTAAGTCTGTTTATAAGAGAGTCAATCACCTCAGCAGCTGTGGAGTTTTTTCTGGCAGGAACTGGACAATAGATTGTTCCTTCTGAAATTGTCCCAGGATATATACGTAATGTATGTTCATTATCCTCAAAGCGTCGTCTTCCTCCATCACTTATATTCATATTGGATCCTGTCCCATCAGCATGGACGGTATGTATCCAAGATCAAACCAACCATTTTCTTGGCAAAAGAACTGTAAGATAAAAAATGTGAAACATTTAGAAGAAGTCACATTATACACTCCTTTCTGAGACTCAGGAAAGGCTTAACAAAATGTCTATTTCATCTTTTAGAACAAAAATCCTAACTCTTCCTAGAGAAAAAAAAAAGATTAAAGCAGGTCATTGAGACCACACACAACATATTAAGTTTTACTGTCCACATCAGGGCACTTTCTAATATAGTGACTTGCCAAAAATATAGAGCAAAAACTGAAAATCCAAAGAGTACAAAGGAAAATTATGTTTCCTCTGCTATTCCAACTATTTCTAAGGTACTTGGGATTAGAACCAAGTTCTTTAACCTTGAAGAATCTCACTGAAGACTGAGTTAAGAGAGTATGTAAACAAATTAGTAAGAACCTAAATCTCTTAAAGGTAATGCAAAAATAAGAAAGAATGGCAATGATGGAACAAAAGCTGTGTGAAACTCACTATGAACATTAAGATGCAATGACACCAATAGAGAAATTGAAGTTATAACCAAGAAAACAACCAGAGGAAACTGCTACAGAGATAACTTATTTTCAGGGAATTTTGGGCTTTGACTCTTGCCCTCCCAAAAGTGAGACAGAGAGGGGCAACAGAAAGGTCCTGCCCCTCCACTATTACACAGTTGGAACTTCTCTTTGTCTTTTAATGTTACTGTTCTACCTCTTTATCTAATCTTTTCCTATTCTGTATATATTTTCAATCTTCTCAACTCCCACATACACTCTTTTGGAAGAATCTCAATGTTTACACATCACTAAAAAGATAATTATCTCCTTCTCTATTCCTATTTTCACATCATTTCTATTCTGTCCCTTTCTATGGAGAACATATGTTCCATGTACTTTCCAGGACTAATAAAACCTATTTCTTATCATCCCTATTATTAACAGACCCCATCAAAAAGCCACTCTTCTGTGTTACCACTCTCCATTTTTGCTTGCTTCATCCTTTAACATATAAAGACAATGTGCTACTGTTTTAAACATGAGAAATACTTTCAGTTACTCACACTACCACATATTTGCAAACGTCCTCTAATCAAAAGCTTTACTATTTTCCTGATCCTTCAAACACACAGGCTAAGGAATATATTTTTAAAATAGCCACTTTAATTAAAGTTTTTTCTATTTATTAATGCTGATGCACATAGGTAAAGTTCATTAACTCCTGAATTAATATCCCACTGCATGATTCTACCAGTTCATCAATCAACTTTCCTTCTAGTGAGCACTAGGATGTTTCCATTATACTAGGGAAATGGTGTTACAAGTCTCACACAGGTTTCTACAAGTACCTGCACTTTATACTTACAATCTTCAACTTTAACTAGAAACTGACAAAATGATCTTCAAACTGGTTGTTCCGACTATTCCTCAACAATAGGAGAAATCAGAGTACAAGGGTGAGCAACTGTGCCGAATTTGTTTCTCTTTTAGTAAAACAATATTAGTAACTGTAGTTGGCTCTTGATACATACTTAATTATACTGGCCATTTCTCTAACCACTTCACATGAATTATTTCATTTGAACTTCACAAATCCTCTCAGGGTTATTTTACTATTGTCATCTTCATTTTACAACTCAGGGGGCTGGGGATTTAGCTCAGCGGCACAGTGCCTGCCTGGCAAGCGCAAGGTCATGAGTTTGGTTCCTGGTACCGGAAAAAACAACAACAAAAAACATTTTACAACTCAGACACCAAAGGCAGAAAGATCTCATAATTTAACTAAAGACCTGACCAGAATGAGAGAAAGCTGAGACAGGAAACAGGCAGTCTAGCTCTAAAGTGTGCATCTCCTGCTAGTTATTCAAAATTCTTCCTTATCCTAGCCAGCTGTGGTGGGACACATTTGTAATCCTAGCACTCAGGAGAGGCTGAGGCAGAAGGCTGTCATCAATTCAAGGCCAGCCTGGAATACATAGTGAGACCCTGGTCTCAAAAAAACAAAACAGAAATTCTTCCTTATCTTCCATTCTTCCTCATGAAGACATGAAATTACTATCCTATATTTTCTTCTAAAAGGCCTAGGGGTTTGTTGTTTTTTTTTAGAACCTTAATCCATATAGAATTTATTTTCAGGATGGTGTGAGAAAGGGATCCTCATTTACTGATTACTCTGCTACTTTAGCCACTTAAGGGTTAGTAATCCCTCACTCATCTTATTAGCAAATTCCATGGACCTATATAAATGGTTCTGGGTTCTATATTGTTCCACTGATCTATTTGTCTATCCCCAAGTTCTACAATAAATGACAGAAACATTGGAAATGAACAATACAGGTAGTGCAGTTTATTTTTTGCAATTCGGGGGGAATCTAGTTATCACAGTTTTTCTTTTTTGTTTTTATTTGTTCTTGGCAATACTGGAGATCAAACCCAAGAGCATTCTATCACTGAGCTACACCCCTTGCCTTTTTTACTACACTGAGACATAGTCTCACTAAATTGCTCAGGTGGAACTTTAACTTGTGATCCTCCTGCCTCAGCCTCCCTCAGTGCTGGGGTTAAGGCAGGAATCACCAGACCCAGTTTATAATAAATGTTTATTTCATGAAGGGCATATTGCCTCAACTTGTTCCTCTTTGACTACCGTAAGAATTTTAATGTAAGTATGTCAACTACCATGAAAAAGCTTTTTAGCATTTTGATACTATTTTGATTTCACAAATTAGGGTTGAAAACACCTATGAATTCTTCCCATTACTGAACATTATTGTTAGTTTTTTGAAATTGCAATAACTAGTTTGATCCACACCACCACAAAAAACTAAGTTTAGTTCTTCTGAAGTTTCCCAATAAATAAATAAATAAAGTTTCTGTCATTTTCATATCCTCCTGATCTTTTTTTCTGCTTAATTTAAATTTGGTAAATGTTTTATGGGCCAGTAATCCCTCACTCATCTCTTTAGAAAATTCTAAATATGTAATTTAGTATTTTTCAGGCAAACATTTTAATGTCATCCGGACTGAATTGCTCTTCTAATTATTAGCCTTACTCTGCAGCTTCCTTTAGCATCAGATGGCTGCACATGTTTTGAGAATTTAGCTCTGCAGGTGCGTATCTAATAGAACTTTTTTCTCCAACATTTACTGAAAACCTGCTTACCACTCATTTAAAGTAATGACACTGCCATAACCATAGCTCTAAATATTAACTTTTTCTTTTTTGAGACAGAGTCTTGCTGTGTAGCCCAGACTAGCCTTGAATTTTTTTAAACAGCGTCTCTATGTTGCCCAGGCTAACCTCAAACTCAGCCTCAAAATCCTCCTGCCTCAGCCTCCCAAGTAACCGGATCACAGGTATACACCACTGTGCCCTGATTAAAGTTAGGTTTTTAATATTATATAATCAGTGTTCAATTTTCCCCAATTATCTCAAAAACATTTTACAGTTATTCTAGTCAAACAGGAGATTCTGCCCCACAGTAACAGGGAAATATCCTGAGCTAGAAAGTTCCTAAATGAAAAGCTGTGTTTGTATTCTCAACCGCTGAGCATAGCACTTCATATAAACTGTGCCCTGGATAGCAATCAGCAAATAAGCTGCTTCTTATAGCCTGGGGGCTGTGCCTGTGACTGTGTCCTATCACCCCAGGGTCATACTAAATGACTACAATCTGACACCTAAAGTTGTACAATATGGCAGCCTTAGAACTAAACTCAAAACTTCCTTTTTCACCAGAGAAGGCCAACTTGGCCCATGACTTCCAACAATGAGTCCAACTCCAATTACCTTCCCATTACATCTGAGAAACCAAACCTCAGCTGCTTTAGCTGCAGGTTCCTGACAACAGTCTCACTCACTGAAAAGTGTTCTTTTCCCTTTTTGAAACATAAAAACATTTTTTAGCCCAACTTATGTCAATTTGATTTTCGTTTTTGGTTGTTTTATCAGTCCTTGCTTTGTGTTTGGAAAAAAAAGATTCCCTAAAAACATAACACGAATCCATCTTTATAGCAAGTCAGTCCCTGCTAAGCCACTTGAAAAATCTGTATTTATAATTATGAAGTATGAGAAAAGATCAGAATCCTCTGAGGAACTTTTTTAAAAAACACACTTCAGGCCCAATAATTCTGAGACAAGAAAACGTAGGCAATATATCTTGGCAATTTTGTGGTTACTAGTCTCAAAAATAGTATAAATGAACCCATTCTCTACTCCCTTACTGTTCTTACCATAGAGCTGCCAATTCCAAACGTGTTCTGCTAATCCTTTTTGGGCAAGGGACAGGCGGTTGAGACAGGGTCTCCCTATGCAGTTCAGGCTGAGACCTTCACTAGGTAGCCCTCAAACTCTAAGCAATCCTCCTGCAGAACTCTGCCTACCCTGTGATGGGACTCTAGGCATATGCCACCATGCCTAATACTCCTGATCTTTATTTTAACACACCATTAGCATTGAGTAAAGTAGCCAGCTTCTCATTCTTGAAACTGCCCTCACAGGACATCTATTTTTCATGTAATATTCCTGATATGTTGTTTCTTTTTGCTTACTCTTAACTGCTTTTTTCTACTACTTCATTTTAAAAGTTAAAAATACTTCCCCAGAGTTCTGGCCTCAACCCAGTGCCTTTTACCTATTAACTACAGATGCTTCTGCACTACAATGGCAGAATTAACCCACAAAGCCAAAAACTTTGCCAACCCCTGTGCCACCAAAAAAAAAAAAAAAAGACAAAGGAAAACTATATAACTAGGGGCCAGGGATATAGCTCAGTGGCACAGCACCTGCCTGGCAAGCACAAGGCCCTGAGCTTGATTCCCAGCACAAAAAAAAAAAAAAAAAAAAAAAAAAACCTATGCAACTAGCGGAGTGAAAATTGAAATAAACATAATTCAAAAGAAGGTGGAGGGCACCTAAAACAGGTAGAGCAATGGAAAATAGTTTTAAAACCAAATATATCTATAATTATGGTAAATAAATGTTCCAGTTAAAAGACAAAGATTGTCAGATCAAAATTTTTAAATGTAGCTA